GCTGGCTGTTGGTATCCAGGAATCGGGTCACGATAGATGTCTTACCCACACCTGTTTCGCCAAGTACGACAAGCTTAAACTTGTGATCATAATGATCAATGGACTTAACGACATCCCTAACATCAGAGGGACTATCTGATAGTGTCTCGCTAACAGCCTTGCTAAGTTCTTCTTTAATCTCACCAGCGCTGGGCCTTTCCTCGGGAGAGTTTTTCAAACACTGCAAAACAAGATTGCGTAGAGGGTGGCTCGGACCCATCTCTTCTAGATCCTCATGACGGCGAATGTACTCTGGGACTATTTCCCCGTCTGGAATTAAAGTTTTTATAAAAATAGCGTTTAATTCAGCACGAGATGATGATGATGGGAAAAAGGCACTAATCGCAGTAGGTCAAGGAAAGAACCTATCTGCATTCGAGCAGCGGTTTACCTCAGTGTAATAAAGGAACAATAGCCTCAATTTGGCGCGAAAACTTCAGGATCGACTTGTGAATGTCGTCGGACAGCTTATAATCTTTAAAATATATTTTTGGTCATAATACTCAATATACCTCACTAAAACTGAGGAATACAAAAACAATAACTTGTAGTTGAAGCGAAAATATGCACGGATATTTGTCTGTGGACATTTGAAATGTTCCGAGAGACAAACAGTTTTCCTAAAGCAAAGCTTGAGCAAAATGGTGAGCTTCAGGGAACAGTCAATTCTCAAAGATAAATGTTACGTGCATATGGCTGGAAAATAAATGGTCGTGTGACGCCCTTTAAACAATCATAACTGTGAATTATAGGCATCAATAGTTTACGCTGAATTGGACAAGTCACGCAACTTTTTGTTTAGCTGATAGCGTGACTCGAAACAAATTAGACCCCGATATACTCATTTGAGCGACAATTTTTAAAAAACTATGTATCATGATTAAACCATCTAGAATTGCTCGGTAGTCGCATCATGAATCAAGATGATAGTTTTCTGCGATCATGAAATAAATAATGATTCATTTTGTTTTGGAGGAGACTTGAAGATGTGTTTCGTTTCCGATTTGACAGCCTCATAAAATGAATGACCGCTCGAGGCACCTGGCTTGAATTTAATGAGAATTGCATCGAAGTCTGTCAACTAGCGTAAAAAAGGTAGAAAAGCAACTGTTTTTAAGAGAGTTACGGCAGTCATTCGCTGGGTGACCCGATCAATTGCTCGTTATAACACGGCCATCTAAATTTTAAGAGAAAAATCTGAGGCAGTTACCTTCAAGAACCGGGTCAGGCAAATTACCCACTGGTAAATGACCAATAATAATCTCCAGCAGCATGGCTCCAAACGAGAAGATATCGATTTTGACGGAGTATCTCGCTTTATCGCCCCTCGGTAGTCCTCCCAACCCCGTGGGATACGTCTCTGGAGCGGCATACACGGGTGTTCCCGGCATGGCAGTCGCGTACATTGCACCACGAGGGAACGCTTTCGCCTGACCCAAATCTGCAATCTTTGCATGCAATTGTTTCGTCAACAATACATTTTTGCTCGCCAAGTCGCGATGTACAATCGGTTTTTTTAGGGTATGAATATAATGTAAACCTTCGGCGACGTCCAGCATGATTTTAATTATGTCTGAGAAAGGAACTTTTGGTTTGGTCGTTGAGTTCCGTATGTGTTTGGCCAAATCGCATTCCAGCAACTCTGTCACAATAATGGGGCTCTCTGGAGAAGGTGGATGAATGACAGTGTAATACTGCACAATGTTCTCGTGCTGAATGCTGCAAAGAATCTCCCATTCCTGCTTAAACTTTGCCAAGATGGCTTCTCTTTGACTGTCATCGAGGTCTACAAGGATAGGTAGAATCCGTTTGGCAGCAGCTTGCTTGCCTTTCCACACGGCCTTCCACACTTCGCCATACGAACCTTCTCCGATTTTGTCACCGAATTCTATTTCCTCAATCGAAGAAATATTTCCCATACCGTTTGAATAGCAAGGGAAAGACTGATATCTGAAAGTCTGCCCTTCAATTTATTCGGGATATCAGATACTAACAGCTATCAGTAAATAACCGGAAGTACAACCGCGCGAGGCCTGGAGCCAAAGTTAAAACGGGCGTAGCCGAGGTTATTTTGTTGCCGCCAAAAATTCGTTTGGCGTTACTTATAATTAATTCGTACTTTTCTTTTTTTCAATATTCTGTTTATTTTCCTGTATAATTTGCCTTTGTTTATATCACTTGTATAAGTTCCTCACCGTGAATTTCATTCATCCATCGTCAGAGGTTGGTGCTCATCGTGGTAGTAAGTAATAATAAACTGTAGAATCGTTTGTCTCACGATTTAGTCTCTTGAGATCGCGATTAAATCTCGATCTACATCTCAAGTGACTTCATTGTGAGACAAACGATAATACAGTTTTTCAATCATATCTCTCGATCGCTTTACATCGTTTATATCATCAATTTGCCATTTGTCCTGGATGTCGTACGACGTTTGTAAGTGTCTTTTTTTTTTTAGTTTTCTCGTGTCCTTACGCATAGTTGTAAGAGCATATTACTTGTAATTTATTTCTTCGATCCTTCACCTCGTTTCGTTTTGTATTTTGGAAGTAAATTAAAGAGTACGTTTATTACTGACATGAGCCCCAAAATTGTAGACATTCGGTTCTGTGTACCACACGGTCAGTTTTGTTCAACATAAATTAAAGGTTGGAGACCTCCAAAGAAATATAAATGCTAAAAACTTCCAGAACGCCGACGATACCATTGTCTATGATCACGCTTACATCTCAGATATATGTCCAGGCATATGTCAGGCATGGATCAATGCTCTGAGTGTGTGAAGAGAAGAAAAACAGGCTAAGAAGTATTCAAAACGTAATAAAATCTCATATAGGAACAATTGGTTTTATTGAAAGGCACCGCAAATTTGGTCAACGATTTTAATAAAGGAATGGTCCAGTAAACCAATTTTGACAGAAATCATGTTAAATCTGATGGAGCTCAGTTGAGATTGTTGCGGCGCGCAGTCAACTTTTTAAGTCTTAAAATAAACCTCTATAAAAAAAAAAAGAGAGAGATTCTAGATACTTGTGCTTCACTGTTCTACAGTCAGGGCCAGGCCTGTCGCTTTAAAACCGACTCATGCATCTTATTTCTTCCAGAAGTTTACTATCGAGTAAATCCGCTTGACTGACTTAAAAATATGTTCTTAGCGAGGAAAAAAAATTGACACAATAGTAAATTACCAACTGAATTATACCTGCTAAAGTCTTCTAACGAGTGTGTTTTTTTTTACATTTTTTATCCAAGCTTAGTTTTAACTTAAACCTTTAACGTTCATGACTAAAATAAATTATCCATAAAATAATTTTCAAGCCCATAAAATTTATTGTTTTAAACACTAGAGTCGATAGGTACCTGAGGAGCGCCCAAAAAGGTTACTGTGATTTAACTATTTGTTTCCTTGCAAAACAAAAAAAAAGGATAATGGTACAAATTTATCGTCGCTGCCCCATTGTTTGAAAGTGTCTCTTCATTTTACACAAGGTAATATTTAATTTGCAGTAAAGTTCAAGTAATTTCAATCTTGAAAAACTCTCTTTGAAATATGTACAAAAGACATAAAAGAGAGAATGCTTTGAAATTTGCTTGGTTTGCCTAAATTTTTACCCTTGCGGAGAAATCAATTAAATTTTGTTGGTTTTTATTACCTAATCATTTTGGCCGCAAAGATTTCAACAAAAATTAATCCTCTTGACTATAGTTAATTGCACACTCAGGGGAAAGGGCAATTTCCCCTCGTTCAGCATTACCATAGGCAGCATAATGTATCAGTCTCGCTGAATTTATCGCTTGAAGTACAACCTGCTTGGTTGTAAGACTACTGATAAATGCCAAATGGATAAAGGGGTAAGTTTCTAAAGAAACTGTGGTGCTGCGTCGGTGGGAGAGTATAGCAGGTAATTTAGTGTTAACAACTGGGTTGAAAACGTAAATTAGCCACCGTAAAGGGTAAAAAAGCTGACGTTTCGAGCGTTAGCCCTTCGTCAGAGCGATTAGAGGAATTGTGGGTTGTGTGTGGATTTATATGTAGAAAGTGGAGTTACGCCATCGGTGGGAATGTGGTGACGAAAAAACAGGAATAAATTAGTTGAATGAAAAGCGCTCGTTGATTCCGTGGGGATTAAGGGTGCCGATTTGGAATATAAATTTTTGTTCTAGTGTTTTACGGCTTTCCGAACTGCCTAGATGTAAGGAAATGCCGCAAACTGCCATATGCTGTTTAGAATGATAAGGAAGATTAAAGTGTCTAGCGACTGGTTTGGATGCGTCCTTGTCATTTCTTTCCACATCGCGAAGGTGTTCTCGGAATCGGTCACCCAGTCGTCTTCCTGTTTCGCCGATGTATAACTTATTGCAGTAAGTGCAAGTTATGCAGTAAATAATATTGGCGGAGGTACACGTAAAGTGATCAATGATCTTAATGGATCTTTTGGGTCCCGATATTTTCTCTACGTTATGAATGAAGGACAAGTTTTGCATCGTGAGCGAACGCATTTAAAAGTTCCAGATTGCGTGCCTCTTGTTCTCCGTCGCCAATTTTCTTTGCGATCCACAATGCTTTCTTCTTATATCCTTGAGCCCCGTCATATTTAGCGAGCATTGAAACATTTACCTCGTTACCGCGCATGCTGTAAATACAGGAGATTTTTTGTTAAATGTTCACCCCTGACCGAGACTTGTAAAGAAATGTTCCATCAGACATATGCCGCTTTTTATCGTGATGTTTACTAAACTCGTAACAGCTCTGCAATCATTAATATATTAGTTTTATCAATGCTTTCACGTCTAAGGACCATAATCAAAATTAGAACGTTTATATTACTCTACGTTTAACACAAAACTGTAGTTCAATAACATATGATGAACGCCAATCAATGTTGTTTTCCACGTATAATATTTTTAGTGTAATATTTCTCCTCAAATATTATTCCCGATGCACATGAACAGCAAAAAGCGAGGAGGAAAAGGCGCTTAAGAAGAGCAAGTCCACGGGAGGAAGGAGTTCATAATAAAGTCATCAGCGAAAAAGTTATAAGAATTTCGCCATATGGCTCAGCAAAAAGTCCATTTCTTTCTAGTTAGCATGGGCACCTAGGGTATAAACTTTCGTCACTAGGCACAACCCGGAAAGTTCAAATCTCTAAAAGTTTCTTATTTAACATTGACATATTATTAGAGACAATATAAACTGATTTTCGCTTATCGGAAGGAAGAACCCGCAATAATGTCTTCATTATCAGAATACACCTAATACAGTGATATATACGGTAAGGAAAGTGACTGTGAATATTAACAAAAATCATCGCCATCTTGTAACCCTTGAGTCTTTCAAACCGGTGAATCTAATGTTCATCCATTTCTAACATCGTCCTTTCTCACTTTAGTTCAACAAACAACACCATGATTTGTTTTTCCTGCCGCCCCCGTCTTGGTCCATTGTCCCTTTGTTTCCCTTTTCTTCCTTGAGTTCTATGACTCCCGGTTCGAGGGCGTGATGACGAGGGGTAAGGAGGCGTTCAGTAATGGGGGACTTCTCCTGGCTGGTGATCCTGTCAGAGAGGCTTGTTTGTAAGGAAGCGACTAGATCGCTTGTCTTAGATTCACCTTCCTTTTGGTTTTCGCTTTCGATCATTAAGTCCATGAGAACAGAGAATATTTCATCGATGTTCTTTCCAGATTTGGCACTCGACTCTATGTAAAATAGATTCTCTCTTCTGGCGAATTCCTCCACTCTCCGCGAATCAACCCATCTCTCCAACTCGTCATCTTTGTTTCCAACTAGAACAATAGGAAGGTCTTCCCCGCACTTCTCCCTGACAACCTTCACCCAATTCGGTACTTCCAAGAAAGACATCTCAGAGAGGAGGTCGAAGGCTATGACCGCGCCCCGAACGCGGCGAAAAATCTGAGGCGCTAGGCTGGAGGCTCTGGCTAACTCGTTCCCGCCCACATCAACGATGTGAAGATGGACTGACTTATCACGGAAACGCAATCGCTGAAAGTGATCTTCGGACTGGAGTGTCCTTGGGAGTGTTATCCCAGAGAGCTGGCTGTTGGCATTCAGGAATCGGGTCACGATAGATGTCTTACCCACACCAGACTCGCCAAGTACTACAAGCTTGAACTTGTGATCATAATGAATGTGTGACATGGCACCAACTTTGTCCCCAGCGGGGCTACTGGATAATGTTCTATCCACAACTTTGCTGAATTTCAGAAGTTCTTCTATTATCTTTCCAGCATTGGGCCTTTTCTCGGGAATGTTGTCCAAGCACTGTAAAACAAGGCTGTGGAGGGGATGGTCGGGACCCATTTCCTCCAGGTCTTCACTACGGCGTATGTACTCTGGAACTATTTCCCCATCTGAAATAAAGGTCATGATAAGAAACATGTTAAATTCAGATTGAAATAAAAAGAAGATAATTCGAAGTAGATCTAAAGAAAGACCCGTCTACTTTCGCACAGTAGTCAACTGCTCTACCAACCCATTTACTAGGGAGGACTCGTGCCGTGTTGTACACCTCATTGCGATATGTGTGGAAATCATATGATTACGAGTACCTTGCACGATTGATGCTTCGAAATTTTTTTTTAATTTTACGAGCACCAGGCTAGTGTAATTTTCTTATGCTGAACTTGTAGGCAGCACTCTGTGAACAGTAGTTGTAAAACTTGTTAATTCTCCAACACGTTTCGCATAACTGTCGTAGACTTCAGTAATTTTTACTGTAAACACTTCACGCCTGTATTTATTAGCCATATATAGTTAGCGGCTATTACGGGAGCCAATGACCATAAAGGCTCGACCAGACTTACGAACAGGAACAGACTCGAGCGAAGTTGTAAGAAGCTTCCCAAACATCCTGAATGACCATGAATGCAAAAACAGTTCATGCGAATTTTTGTTTAC